AACTAATCAAATGTTGGTTAATGTAACTCACATTAGTTGTGGACCCCTACATAGTAAAAATGAGTTGTTGGTAGACATGTCTTGAGCTGCCCAGCTCAGTGATTTTATCCTCTCTGAAGTTTTCCTGGTTCTAGAGGCTGGACCCTTAGTAGCTACATCTCTCCTCCCTGACTCTGTTTCTTAGGCCATAGCTGACTGATCCAGGTGTGCATACCTGATCCCCAAGAATTTGAATTGAAAGAAATGAGGAATCAGTATATCTGAATCAATTAAGTCCATAAACCTACAGCTAAGGTCTCCAGAGCTGCCTGGGTTCCTGTTCTTCTTGAGACTTTTTAAACTCTTTTTTTGGGTTTTTCCGTTGTTGTTTTACCTTGGATTTAAAATGAAATGCACTCTCAACAGATTTGTTGGTAACTTTCAACAATAATTTCCTTAGTTCAAATCTTAGAAACTTTTTCAAAAAAGATATTTCCAAGTAACTTATTATGCAAAATGGCGTTTGACTTTGAGGTTAAAAATTAAAACTAAAATCAGTTTATTGCCAGTAGGTGGAAAAGGAAAGGGCTCAGGAAGAGAGAGGAGTTTACAACACATATTTCAGGGGAGATTTTTAATATGGCAAGTCCTCTAAATTTTTTCCCATGAGGTATGCTAATTCTAGTCTATTGTGGGGCTTTTGCCAGCTGCTAAGTATGTCTATTCCAGTTATGCATTCTAGAACTGGGGAAATAACCACAGGGTGGTCAGGGATCCACTGGACCCACTATGAGTCGCACTTGGGCTAAAACTCCATTAATCACCTGACCTCCAAAAGCCTCTGTTCTCACTGGAGGGCCACTGTGACATTTTGGGTCTCCTGGAATCAATGTCAGTTCATATCCAGTTTCCAGTAGTCCCCGAAAGGTGTCATTATTTCCCTTTTCCCAACGTACAGTACTCTGATAAAAGGTTGTGGGTCCCTTTGGTGAAGGATGGGAGAAAGACTATAATAGTATAAATTTTTGGTAGTGTACCAGGATCCTTCCTCAAGGGGACCCAGCCACTCCTTCATTCAAGGGGTTCTGGGTTTGTAAACTGGCTCAAGTCTGGGAGTCGTTAGAGGGGCTGTGACTCTGTTATTTTTATTTGAGTTAGACTTTTGTTCATTTGACGTATAAGTTTTTTGCTTATACAGATCAAAGACCCCTTAGAGTGCATTTTGGAAAATTGTGAGGGTCTTTTGATGGCCATAATGACTGTATGCAACTGGCTAGATGTCATACAATGTATGAGACAGTGCAACTTAATGAGGATTTGTCCTACATCCCCCTGACTTCTGTATATCCTCCCAGGCCAACCCCTCTACATTTTAACACTGAAAAGTCTTCATGAGAAATTGAACAAAAAGCTTATTAAGTTAGAAGAAGATTGTTGTCTTAGTTTTCTGTTGCTGTATAACAAAATACCATGAAACTTAGCAGGTTAAAATAATTTATTAGCTCACAGGTCTGTAAGTCAGAAGCTGGGCTTGGCTGGATTCTCTGCTCAGGGTCTCACAAGACTGAAATCAAGGTGTCAGCCAGGCTTGCTGGCTTCTTATCTGGAGGCTACATGAAAAGGATCACTTCCAAGCTCATTCCTTGTCGTCGCGGGTCTGAGGTCACTCCCTTGCTGGCTGTCAGCCTGAGGTCACTTCTGATCCTACCGGCTGCTCTCCAGTCCTTGTGCATGGTGCCTCCATCTCCACAGCCAGCAGGGGCATGTTGAATCCTTCTTGTTCTTTGAACATCTCTGACTTCCCTTTCTGCCACCTGCCAGACAAAACTGCTTTTAAAGGGCTCACCTGGTTGGGTCAGGTCTACCCACATTAATCTCTGTACCTTAAAATCAGTTGACTTGAGACTTTACATTTGCAAAATCTCTATACAGCAGTACCTACATTTGTGTCTGATCGAATAGCCAAGCCACAGTAATCTTAGGGGATCATCTTTACAATTCTGCCTACTACCACCACTGGTATGAAGAGAGAAGCTTAAGTGAAATAAAGATATTGTCTCAAAATAAGTAATTTGTTCACTCTGCACAATCTGTTCTTTAAGTATTACAGCATTTCGAGCTTGCATATTTAGTTGAAAAGTGAAATAGTGTTATTACTGCAAAAGCAACTAAACCTGTTGAAAATAAGCAACAGGATATTTGAGATTCCTAATTCAGACTTTAATTATTAAATTCACAGAGACAGGTGAAATGCAGGGATCTCATTGGATTTCTTTAGTATAGGCTACTTTAATAATGTTTCATATTATTGCCTGCATGTGTGTGTGTGTAATGATAAGAAATCTAGGTTGTGAAATGGAAATTTTATTTGGGGATAGCTATAGTTTTTTGTTTTACCATAAAAGTATCCCCAATCTATTACACTTTATTGACTCTTGCATTAATTTCTTTCTTTTTTTTTTTTGTCTAATTTATCTTCTATTCCTTATACCATTTAAAGAATATGATCTTGAAGGTCTTTTTACAAACTAGACTTGTATATCTCAACAGGATTTCAAGACAGAAGGATAAATTTTCTGTGATACTTTCTTCCTACCTCATCCCATGACATAACCTAGAAGGTTATTTTGACACCAGACTTTATAAGTAAATAAGATCTAGCTTATTAGAGATAATATCGCACTTCCTCAGTTTCTCTACTTTGACTGTTTCTTACCTTGGCATATTATTCTAACTTCAGATAAGGTTACTTCTTCATTTCTGTTATTACTTATCTTAATACTATTTTTTTTCTAGTGTTGGTCTGAGCCTCTGCTTTTATTTTCCTGTACTTGTCCAGAATGGTTTCTGATATTCTTATTTTTAAATCCAAATTTATTTATCATAAGTTGGTATGTACATCTGACTGCTGACTGTAAATGTCTCCAAACATTAACATATTGAAATACATACTTTAAAAAATTATTCTTTTTATTTTTTCTTCACATATCAATTAAAACATTGGATGTATTTATTTATTTTAAGTTTTGTGTGGGCAGGTCATATCACTTATGGATTTTATTTCAGGGTGGCAAAGGAAGCAGTATAAAATACGTGTGATTAAAAAGGGGGGTTTGGAGCCGAGCCCGTGGTGCACTCGGGAGAGTGCGGCACTGGGAGCGCAGCAGCGCTCCCACCGCGGGTTCGGATCCTATATAGGGATGACCGGTGCGCTCACAGCGCTCACTGGCTAAGCGCAGTGCGGTGGGTCTCAAAAAGGACAAAAAAAAAGGGGAGCGGGGAGGGGTTTGGGTCTGAGAGGACTAAGACCTGTTCTGTCATGCGAAGAAAATGTGGTGGACCTTAATTGCTGTAGGTCCTTTCCTACAGTGTCCTGTGTTAATCGGCAGCCTGGATGTCTTGCCGCATGCATGGATGGAGTAGGTTTTCTGTCAAGGCCCTGTCATCTGTCTTCCTGTCTCAGAGGACATTCTTCATTGAGGTCTTTCACTCCTCATTTTAATCTAGGTATATTCTTTAGTTTCCTTCAACTTTGCAGCAGGAGATTCAGCTTATCTTGTAATATTCACACATTTGAGGTTCTTAGCAGTGTTTTCTTTTGTAAAAGATTATTAGATTTGCAATATGGTAATTCTTCTGTTCTCTTATCATTTATCAACAAGTTTGTGCAGCTTGGTTTTTTTAATCCAAGCCTTCTCTACCACTCCGCCGCCTACCAGAAAAAAAAATTTAGTAAAATAATGGTTTTTGAGCACAGAGTCTTATCAGGAATGTTTTAGATAAGCTAAGTCTAGTCAAGTTGTGACCTCTATAGATTTCTCATAACCAGTGTACAGTGAAATAATATGATAGAAAAAGCAGTAGAGTAGAAATAAAACCTAGATTCTTGATTCTGGCCATCATTTACTACCTTGGGGAAGTTGTGTAGCTTTTTGGAGCCTTGATTTTCTCATCTGCAGGTAGGGATATCTGTCCTGCCCATCTGCCAGTATTATTGTTAGAATCGAACAATAAAATGACAGCTAGAGATATGTTGAAAAATTTTAAAGTGCTGTATAACAGCTGTTAGGTCTTACCATCTAGAAAAGCTTCAGTCATCAAATCAATCTTGTAGATGTCTTCATATTACTTTTTTATCACCACCACCAGGGCTAAAGCAATGCTATATAAATGGGGAGTTGGAATGGGATTTAGAAGAACCTAACTGGCCAGTTGGATGGCCATTGAGATGGAATGGAGATGGCAATCTCACTCAAGGCACTGGAAATATAAACAGGGAAGACACATCCCAGAAGCACTGGCAGGACTTGGAAACCAGTTGGACTTGGGGGATGAAGGGAAGGAAAAAACATTGAACCTGAGAGACTGGGAGGTTGGGGATCAAGAGGCATAACAGGTATGAGGGTGTGTGTCCCATTGAGGTGGCCACGTTTGAGCTGCTGCTGCTGTACCTAGATTTAGATGTCCTAAGGCAGTCTGGAATGTGGGCCTGGAGCTCAAAGAGAGAGGGTTAGAGACTGGCCCAGGGAACACCTCTGCAATGAGAACATCAAATGAGGTAGGATGGGGATGAAGGTAGAGCTTGGTAGAATGGGTGTATGCACTGAAGGACCTACTGGGCAAGAGGAGCCAGCAAAGGCTCTTCTGACCCCATGTTCCATAGTCTGTGACAGTTCTGTAGAGTCAGGGACATGGGAGATGTTGTACACTTACTGCTGTTATAAATTTATTAATTATAAATGAGGCCCTTGACATCTGATAAACCAATGAGTGAAGATTAAATTTTCCTTAGGAAACCATCCAAAGATACACAAACTAAAAATAACAAACAAAAAATGAGCAAGAATTTATATTTTGTTAAATATCCTGTAATCAAGTTTAAAAACAGAATGTTTTTCATATTCAATACTGCTGGCAGACACCACCTATTCTTATTGCAAGACTAGTTTATATTAAATAAAACTGTAATATTATTGATCTTTACTAATTCTCTTCTTTTCTTCCTCCTTTTTTTCCTCTAGATTTTACATTGTGCTATAGGTAAGTATGGAATTTTCCTCCTGCTATGTACAGTGGATCCTTTTTTTTTTTTAAGTCAAATGATAAGCTTGATTTGATTCTTATTGAATATTGAAACAACTAAACCATTTAATCATTATATATAAAATTGGTCAAACTGGAAATGACTTTTGGTTTCTAAAATTACAGGTACTATTTAGATCTTATCATTAAACACTTTATTAAATTTCACACCTATTTTGCTATGTCAATTTAAAAGAGGCATCTCCCACCTTGTCAGTACAATGGTAATAGAGAAACACTAGCATGTTTATAAAAATGTGGCTTGGGGTCCTCATGCTGGGCTGTGTTAGAAAGCCTTTTCTGTGATCACTTAAAAGGTATATTCTCTCTCCTTATCTTTAAAACATACTATATGTTGCCTACCTCCCAGATAAATACTGTATGTATGTGAGAGGGGTGGAAAAGTTAAGTGTGAAGGGTTATACAAATGTAAGTGATTTCTACTAAAGCAGATACAGTGTGTTTTGTTTTTCTTTTTGCTGAGAGGGGAAAGATTTTGCTGTGAAACTGAGGCATAACTTCTAGCCTGGGGTGGCTGGAAGACCCCTCTGATGAAATAAAAATCAGTGTTGGGAAGTTGACAGCGCCCACAGAGCAAGCCCATAGTGGTTGCTGTGTGTTCCAGGTTAGTCTCTCAAAGAGAAGATTTGGAGTTGATATTCATTCAAAAGCCCCAGAGGTCTGAAAACTTGAGAATGGTGAATCCAAACCAATATGACCATGATAAATTTAATTTACCACTGAAGTGGGTACTTACTGTGTTCAGGGCACAGGAGAATTAGTGAAAAGGAGACTTATAGGCCAGAAGGACACACAGGTGGAGACACAGCTAAACTGTCCACTGTGGGTCTTCAGAGATTACTGTGATACCTGGCTTCATTACTTTTAAGGAAGACAAAGGGTCTGCATTACCAAGAGTTGCACCTCTGCTGTTTTTTCCACTTCTTATCTGGGCTCCATGGGTGGAGTTCAGGGACCCCTCAAATGATCTGCAGAATTTCATCTGCATGTTTCTATATTTATTTTGGGGGTGGGGGGACAATTCATAGCTTTTATTGGATTCTTGGAGGAGTTTGTGATTCCCCAAAAGCTAAGAAACACTGCTTTAGAACCTTTGAACAATAGATTTGAAAGGGGCTTGGGGACTCCTCTGTCATAAGGTCTGCTTTCCCATGGAAGGTTAAGTGACCTGGCCCAGATCACACAGCTAGTAAATGGTGAAACCTCATTTAGAGCCATGTCAGTCTTGACTCCAGAGCCTGCCAGACTGATGTTATTTTATGATGAATGGGTTTTAGCTTATGTACAATCTTAAACGCATTTCCTTTTTAGTCCTTTATCTACTATTTTGAGATGCAAAATTTTGTCCCTTCTTAAATGGTTAAATAAATTTTAAGCATAAGCTGGCAGACTGGGGTATGTGTTTGGCTAGAGAGAGTTCTGGAACCACTTCAGGCCTTCTCCACATGATCAAACCCTGAGCACCGTTCTCCCCACTCCCTTAGCCTTCAGCTTTATAAAGCTCTCAGGTGCATATTTTCCAGTTATCTTGGTCTGTTTGGACTGCTGTAACAAAATACCATAAACTGGGTGGCTTATAAACACAAACATTTATTTCTCACAGTCCTGGAGGGTTGGAAGTCCAAGATCAAGGCGCCAACAAATTCGGTGTCTGGTAGGGGCTTGTTCCTCATGGATAGTGCCTTCTCACTGTGGCCTCACACGTGGAAGGACAAACAAGCCTCCGGCCTCTGCCCTCACGACCTGCTCACCTCCCAAAGACCCCACCACTTAATGCTATTGCATTGGGGATTTAGGTTTCAACGTATTTATTTTGGGGGGACACAAACATTCAGACCATAGCACTTAACAGCTGTACTATTAATATTTAATTATATTTTAATACCCCAAGCCCCTTTATCTGTCTTAGGATATACTTCATACCTCTTTTTTTTTTTTTCTATACCTCTTTGTAAAATTTCTACCCCTGGAAATAAAGTTTTTGACAAGTATATTTGTTCATTCATAACCAAAAAGTTGTTGCATGCCTAGTGGGCGTGCAACCAGACACTGTGCTGGGCAGTGGGAGCAGAGAGGGGAGCAGGCACAGACTTAGGTTCAGGAAACCCAGGGTCAGACGGGCACTCCAGGACTAGCGTCCATGTCACATGCTGCTCAGAGGGTTTGTGGACAGCTTGCTTCCGCATCAGACTGGGAGCTCCTCCGGAGCAGATTCTGTTTTATTCGTCTGCATGCCCAGGGCCTAGCAGGGTGCCTGACACACAGTAGATACTTGAAAACCATTTTATCTCCTCAAGGACCTTGTTCCTGAGGAGTGGTTGTCAATGGTTCTCTCTCCTGCATCATCACTATTTGCTATCTGCCTTTTCCCTCTCATACCTTCCTTTTCCTTCTCAGCTCAAAATGCTCTGAGCGCTTCATCTTACTTAAAAATAATTTTTAACCTAACCTTGGACCCTGCATTCCCCTCTTGCTACTACATAGTTTCTCCCCACCTATGAGAGATTTATGGTAGACTCTACATTTCTTCGCTCCCATTTATGTCTTAACCCAGCAGTGGGGCTTCTGTCCCTCCTGTTGTACAAAAATTATCCCGTGGTCTAAAGTCAGCAACAGTTTCTGCTCAATTCCAAGGACACATTTGGAATTTAGTGGACTTCTCAGCTGTATTGGGCACCACTTGAGGCCCTGCTCCTTTAGCTTCCATTGTACTGAGCCCTGCTGGTTTTTCTTGTCCTCTGTGGTTCTTTTCTTTCTTCCTTTAATGCTTCTCTTTCTCTCCTTGTCCCTTAATTGAGGGTGTTCCCAGGGTTCTGTCTTAGCTCATGGCTCTTCTGACCAAACATGCCCTCTGTCAGTGGTCATGAGATTTCTCCTGGTATGAGATACGCATGACACCTACTTCTCTAACTCCAGGCCACACCTGCGCCACAGACTCCCAACTCCTCCATTGGCCTCCTTGATGCACTGGGGCACCTCCTCCCCAGCATGACCCAGACTCCCAGGCTTGTTCTGCCTCCCACATTCTCATCATCAGGAGTGCCACCAGCCATTCCATCGTCCGTCCTAGACCTAGAGCTCATCGATGGTGCCTCCTTCTGCCTTACCCACACCCCTGTAACCAGACAATCATCAAGTTTTGTCAATTCGGGTTCCTGAATATTTCTTAGACTGCCTTGTTTTTTCATCCCTATTCAGCACCTCAGTATGTCTCATCTGGGCTCCCATGTGGGCCTTCCTGAACATCTAGGCTTATAATACGAATAATCATAAACACCATTTATTGAGTATTTGCTGTGTTCCAGTGATTTACATTCATTATCTCATTTGCTTCCCATTTTGCAGTTGACAAGACTGAGGCTTGGAAGGTTTTATATGTTTATTTTCACTACAAATATATATATGAGGTAATGCATATGTTAGCTTGATTTAGCCATTCCACAATGGCTACATAGTTCAAATGTACATATTTTTTATTTGTCAATTTAAAAAGAAGAAAGGATTTCTATCTTGCCAAAGTTCACACAGCCAGTAAGCCCTAGAGTCAGGAGTTGAACCTGTGGCTCCGAGTCCATGCTTCACACTGCCCGGGAGGGCTTTAGTTACAGGAAAATTCTGAGCATGTCTCTTCCCTGCTTAAAACCCATCACTGGTTGAAATTTCGTCATGATCTGGACCCTGCCCAGCTCTCCAGTCTCACCTGTGCCGGTTCCTTGCCTCCCACCCCGTGCCTCAGCAACGCCGGCCTTCCCGCCTCTCGCCGCCTCTTTCCGCACGTACCCTGCCGAGGCGCTGCTGCTTTCTGCGCCCACGCCCGCGCCCTGCTCTCTGCCTGCAGCCGCAGCCCAGCCCAGCAACCCTTCCTCCACCCACTGGCTGGGTTTGGTACCGTCCCCTACTTGTCCATACGTCCCTGCGCTTCACTCTGATATCTTTTCCATATTGTATTGTGTTCCTTCTCTCGCTGTGCCCATATCCTCGCCAACAACACTGAATATTTTGAGAGGGACAACTGTTTCTTTTTCCTTTTTTTAGTGGCTGGCAGGTACAGGGATCGAACCCTGGGCCTTGGTGTTATGAGAAGTTTCTTATTGATCTCTGTATAGCATCTAGTGGGAGCTCGGTGAACATTTGATCGTAATCTTACCCAATTCTGGTGGAAATTTCCAGAACTTGTTTCAAAATGTTTTCAGATTTTTAAAATAGTTAATGATAACAATAGTAAACAGGCTGATTCTAACATAAGCCTAAAGGCAATGCTTCATTTTTTTTACTCATATAACTTAAATTTAAAATGATGATTTATTTTCCTATGGCATTTTGAAAGTTTTTGCTTAGTCTTTTGGAAACTTATTTTAGAGTCTTGAGATGTCTTTAGTTAGCATCTAAACTAATGAGAAGTGTGGATTCATTCAGATTTGGGTGACTTACTAGTTGGGTGACTTCCAGGAAGTAACTCAACTTTTTTTTTTTTGCTGGCTGGTATAAACTCAACGTTTGTGCACCTGCATTTCTTCATCAGTAAAAGGAGGATAATAATACCTACTTCATAGGATTGTTGTGGAAATTAAGTGGAAAAATGCCTGAAAAACACTTAGCACAATGTCCGAAACAGCCCATTAAAATGGTAGATGTTGTTATTAACTAAAGTAATGTAATGTCATAGAATATTTAAAATTTTATTCTGCCTCTACTGTGATGTTCAATAGTTAGATTTGTATAAACGTAACTCTTCCATATCTTGTTTTTCCTAAATTATAATTTCTTCGTGGGTGAACACTTTAGGGCCACTTGTTAGTGTGGGTTGGAGTCGCATCTTGTTCTTGGTTGCAACAGTGCACCTTGGTGAAAACAAACCCCAGAAAGAGTAAAGGAAAATTCCATATGAGGGGCTCATTTCTGTGAGGAAGGCCAGCCTTTTGTCCTTGTAAACGAGT